ATCTTCTCTCCAGTTCACCAAGCCTCTTCAAACAGATGACAGGAGCGTCAGGCAATTTTGAGTCCAGGAGCAGGCGATGGAGGCTGGAATCCTTGGAGTAGATCCCGACAATAATGCGTCATCAATGCCCAATCGATTCAGGAGTTTCTTCCTGAGGCTGCTTTGTCACACGGCTTTGATTTAAACACAGTTTTAAAAAGAGCAATGTATATGGGTTCATTATACATATGCAAGTTGTCTGCATTCTAAATCCTTCCGAAATAACTTCTTCACAACAACCAAAACAGCTGATGAACCTGCACCAGCAAATTTTTTCATAATTTTCTTTTAACGAATATGGAGATATGGATTGAAAACTGTACAAAATCTTTTGCCTACAGATGAACTATTAAATATGAAATAAGGAAATCTCAGCTTACGATCAAAGAGGATGGTTTACATTAGTGCTGGAAGATGAACACTAGACTCATTCCACTCATTAAGCCATATAGTTCTCCTTCTCTATAATACTTTGCTATTCCAATTACTCTATTAGTTTATTCTTTCAGCATTCACTTGTTGCCTCACTTTGATCAAATCAATTTAGACATCACTAATTAATTTGAATATTACCATACTCGATACAATATGTGCAGGCTTTAGCAGCCATGCATGTATAGACAAAAAATAAAACGTTGTAACTGCCTTTGATGTAGTCAATTGCCTTGATCAAGGCATTAATTTACGTCATTAACAAATCACAGATGAACCAGCCAAATGGGCAATAAAAAAAAAAAAAACAAGACGAATTTCACTAAGCTCCTTGAACAGAGAGTTTAAATAAAAGAAAAAGAAAGATACGGTGGCAGTAGATTATTGGAAATTAAGAAAAGATTCAAGGATTGATCAGAGTCTTGAAACGTGCAAAGAAGTTGAAAATTGCTGTCGATTGTTGCTCCAATCAAGAAGCCGTAATAAAAAGAGGTCAAAGTTCTTCCAACTCAGGTGTTCTTCCTCGGTATAGAATTTTGTTCTGTTTCTCCTCTCTATGAGTTTTTAGTTTTCTTATGTCGATAATTAAGTAATGGAATAGTTATGAATTGGGACATTAATATTAGTTGTATAAATTCAAACTATACCATTTTGATCTTCTTATCAACTTATCTAGTTATCCACAGTTTTCTAAACCCTAAACAATCAAAACTCTTTAATAAAGCATTTTTGATGAATTTACCAAATTACTGCTTTAATCACAAGGACCAATGCAACATCGGCTACTACTAGCATATAGACAACTGAAGACACGAAGGACAACAGCAGCCTACAAAATTTACCAATAGTAAAACAGTTTAGTTGTACTGACATTAGTTTTGGCTGAAATATTACTCAGTACAAGTTTGAAGGGCAAGGATTCTAACTATTGCTTCAATTTGGAAAGGTGGTTCGTGTTAAAAACTTAAAATTAACACCAAGCAAACTATTTGCTGCAAAAACTGCCCGAACTTCAAGTATATAATTATGAAGATGCTATATTAGCAAATAAAAGAACATGGAGCATGGATTATGGGGCACTTTTTTTTGTTTTATAGTTCAATAAAAACATAGTATCTATGCCTCGAAAAATGTTAATTTTCACTTTACAAACCTTTTGACTCAGGCTTGTCTCTGCCTCCCTCCGCTCCCTCCCTGCCGTTGTTCTCTTTCTTCCTATTCTGCATCGACAGCCTTGTCAACTATCAAGATACGCTTCAGGCTCCGAAGGACTTCCACAGCGAGGATGCTTCCCAACAACTTTTTGACTAAAAAAGACATTTTCCATATCGTCTAAATAAAATGTAAAAATAATATAAAAAAAACTTTCAAACATTAGACTAATTTTGAATGCTAAAGTTTGATTTGAATATGTTTACAAGCTTAGAGCTCTTAGAAAAAAGATTATTTTTAAAGTTCTAAAAACTTTCTTGTTACTTTTCTACAATGTTAACTATGGTTATAGTTCTTAAATGCTTAGGTGATTCACGTCCTACATGTCAGTTCCCTGATTGATAAAATCATAGAACACAAGTTATTTTGATCACTTGGAAAAAGATCATGGGTTAAGAATAATTAGTCTTCATTTAAGAGATGAGTACAATCTACCGCGATCTACGACAGAAGTCAGCATTCAAATACTTTTAGACGAACGACACGTAACAAATCGAAATTCATCTGAGCTTTTTTTCCGGAGAAATAGAATAGGAACGATTCGAGTTAGGTACTTACGGGCCGCAGACATCGTGGGGCATACATTTTTATATCAGCTGGTTGATATATATATCTAATTTGTAATATCAATATTAAAAATACTGGATTAAACAATAAAAAATGGCATATGACAATGATAACTTGTCTACTAAATATCAAATATTTAGTATTCAAAATAATCAGGTATAACAAAAAATTATAAGCAAAATATATCACTTTAACATAGCAACATCAAGCATTCAAGCTTCAACCTTTACTAACTTGATTAGGCTTGTAGAGTTTGTTTTGGCCTTCGAATATCGATCATGCTTAAATATCAACTAACTATTCAACTCTGGTTCAAGGCATAAAAAATAAGATTTGTAATTGCTGCAAAAAGAGAGGAGATGAAAATACCTTCACTACCAAGAGAAATGAAAAGAGAATATCGAGAAGGGATTTGAAATGCAGACGGTTGATTTGAGATGTGGATATGAAATAAGTAAATTTAGTTTAGGAATCTCGCCAGACTGATAAGAAATGTATATTTAAAGACATAAGATATAAACGGTATTTTAAATATGCGGTGTCCGACCGCGGTGCTCCAATTTTGTTTTTAATGATTTTTTTTAAATCGCGACACCGTGTTGATTTCGGCGTGGTCCGACACTGTGAGGAGTGTCGGACGAGTGTCGTGTCGGACACTGCATGCCTCTTTGAGGAGAAATGTCGGTGCATCATAGCTGATCAGAAATTGGGCTTTCATTATCCATTGATGCATCCAATAACAAAGCTTTATAATGAGGAAAGCAGATGAAACCGATTATGTTATACAATTTTAATTCTGAAAATCAAAGCAAAAGCCACCGCATCGCTTTTGGCTCAGTGGAATGACAAGGAAATATGAATAGAATCAGATAAAGTGCTTAATTACCAGCATAATATGACAACTTCGGCTCAAGAAGTTATTTGGTACCTTTTCTGTACATAAACAACTCTCTATGGAACAAACGTGATAATGCAATGGGGAATGTTGACCAACAGATAGAGAGCAAAAAAAAAAAAACCAAGCCAAACCCCAGAAAATTAGGAAGAAAATCCGGCATACCTTGTATAAGATGACTCAGTTCAGTTCTCCGAAATTCCTGCTGAAATTCCGCCGAGGAACTGTAGATTCGGCGCGCTCACGTCAAAACCTCCGCAAAAGCTGCGACTCGCCTCGATCGAACAACCACATGCGTCGTTAAATAGAAGCCGAAGCCTTCTATTCAGCTGCTCTTCCACACACGAACTCCAGCTTCTCCCTTCAGTTCCACACGACCCCATCCCACTCTCTGCCTTCACACACGAAAGCTCTCACCTCCTCTTCCAGAGCTCCACCCTTGTCTCCCTCCCGATTCTTTCAATTCAGAGAAGCTGAGAGAGAGAGAGAGAGAGAGAGAG